CTCTCTCTCTCTCTCTCTCTCTCTCTCTCTCTCTCTCTCTCTCTCTCTCTCTCTCTCTCTCTCTCTCTCTCTCTCACTCTCTCTCTCTCTCTCTCGGTTCAGTCCCGGTGAAGTCGATCTCCTCTTTTCCAGGATGCGCGCCAACTCCATAGCCTCCTAAGCCTTTTTCTCTATCTCTGGCACCTCCTCTCTCTCGCTTGACGTGCCTCCACTTGCAGTTGCTGCGTATCACTTTTCTCCAACAGCAACACACGGTCCGCCTCCTTTTCCAACTCCTTATACCTTTCGTCCTTCGCACGCGGCTTTCTCTCCTCCCTCATCTGTAGTTTGTGTTCCCATGTGGATAAGATGGGAACACAGTTGTATTCATCGACAGTGCCCACGTCGCATGCGGGGTTGCTTCTGCCATGAGGTCCTGCGGACGTGCTCCCACTCTCCCCTTCCTAACGAGGTCCGTTGCCACTATCCGCCAATGGACCGCCATCTCTCTCTCTCTCTCTCTCTCTCTCTCTCTCTCTCTCTCTCTCTCTCTCTCTCTCTCTCTCTCTCTCTCTCTCTCTCTCTCTGTACCGTGTACAGCGCAAAACAGGTGGTGGTATGAACGGAGGTCGCGACGCAACGCAAATTGCATAGAAGCCCCCAGCCACGATCACCCCACCACACACCGACGATATTCATATCTATCTATCTATATCTATATCTGTATCTATATATATATATATATATATTTCGAGAGAGAGTGAGAGAGAGAGAGAGGCCCAACGTAAACGTGCCGCATGAAAAGAGAAAGGCAAAACGATAAAAGTACGAAAAACAGATGACATTGACAAGTGACGTTTCCACAAACGGCCACGTCCGCAGAAGTGAGAAGCCGAAGGGGGTAAGAAAAGGAAAAAACTGGGAAAAAAAACACGACAACGAAAAAATGTACGAAAAACATAAGAAATTGACAGGTGCCGCTTCCACGAACGGCCACGTCCGCAGAAGTGAGAAGCCAGAGGGGGTAAGAAAAATAAAAACCTCGAGAAGAAAAAAAAAACACGTCAACAACTATGGATAGGGACCGGGGTATTCTAACAGTGTGTGTGTGTGTGTGTGTGTGTGTGTGTGTGTGTGTGTGTGTGTGTGAGAGAGAGAGAGAGAGAGAGAGAGAGAGAGAGAGAGAGAGANAGAGAGAGAGAGAGAGAGAGAGAGAGAGAGACTCAACGTAAACGCGTCGCATGAAAGATGAAAGGAAAAACGAAAAAATTACGAAAAACATATGACAATGACAAGCGACGTTTCCACGAACGGCCACGTTCGCAGAAGTGAGAAGTTGTAGGGGGTAACAAAAAAAAAAAAAAAAACGGGGGAAAACAAAACATGACAACGAAAAAGCACGAAAACATATGACATTGACAAGTGCCGTTTCCACGAACGGCCCCGTCCGAAAAAGTGAGAAGCCGAAGGGGGTAAGAAAAAAAAAATGGGAAAGTCGAAAAAAACAGACAACGAAAAAAAAAAGAAAACCAGAAGACATTGACAGGTGCCGTTTCCAGGGTCGGCCACGTCTGCGGAAGGGACAAGCCAGAGGGGGTAAGAAAATGGAGGGATGGGAAAAAAAACAAACACGACACACACACACACACACGTTGGACCGGGATACTGTAACAACCGCCAGCATATCATTTTGAGAGAGAGAGAGAGAGAGAGAGAGAGAGAGAGAGAGAGAGAGAGAGAGAGAGAGAGAGAGAGAGAAGACAGATCAATGCACGATCAACCACAACCAATCGCCATCACAGCCAATCGCCATCAGGGAAGAAATCTTCTATTCTCTCTCTCTCTCTCTCTCTCTCTCACACACACACACACACACACACACAGAAGCCGAGATTGGGAGCCGCCACTGACGATGGCAACCATCGTCGGGGGGGGGAGGGTGACACCCCATGTGCGGACGACCACCGGCATCGAATCCGCAGTACCGGTCGCCGGCGAACCGACACACGTGACCCAAAACAGGTGGAAAAAAAAAAAAAAAAAAAAAAAAGGGAAGCAATTCTGGCCTCGCATTATTGCACCAACCACAGGGACCCCGCCCTACCGTGTGTCCGTTCGTCGGTCCTTGCCGGAGGCCGAAAGACCACAAGTGGAAACGTTACCAGTTCAAAAACAAAAAAAAAAAGAAAAGCCAACATCGAAAGGTACCACGGGGCACAGGCTCGGCAAATTCGGCGTGCACTATAATTCAGGGTCGGCAAAAACAGGCTCGGAGGTACTGGGGGTTAAAAAACAACTGTCCGCATTTCTCCTCCCAAAAAGAAAAGAAAAGAAAAGAAAAGAGAAGAGTCTGCACTTGCATGGCAGGAAGGTCCTGTAAGCCTGTGAAAGGTGAGGCCAGGATGTGTCCCACCAACATCATATTTGGGTGGTCATTTTTTGGCAGTCCAATAAGCAGTGCTCTAATGTGGCTCTGTGCTTAGGAGAAGACAGGCATAAGGGAGAGTATTTGCCAGTCTGGGGGTAGGAAGGCATGCGTGGAGTATCTGCCATTGTAGAGCCCCGTGCCTACCATCTTCCCCTGAATATGACACACCCTGTTAGTGAATGTATACAAGCTATCTTTCCAGTCCGGTACAGCCATAATAAGTGTGCGTTGTGTTAGGGGGAAGCCTATAGTAGGTTTGATGTGGCACCAAAAGCAAGTTGCCGGAGTCTGAGTCATTCACTAAGGCCAAGGAAATGAAGCAGATATTGGGCCTACGTCCATTCTTTTGTTTTTTTGGGGGGGGAGGGGGAAGATCAGGGCGCAGTGCCCAAGGCTTTGATTATCTTTTTTTTTTTTTTTTTTTTTTTTTTTTTTTTTTTTCTTTTACTCACGAGACTCCCATCCCACCTCTCCTCTCGATATATATCCTGGCGCACCCCCACTCCATTTCTATCTTACCTCATGCGAGGAACATCACTACTGGAGCAACCTGACCAGACAGCGGACGCGGGCACCGATGCTGAATGAGCGCCCCCATTCAGCCCCAGTTGAGGCACTAGCGTACAAGCCTCGTTATACGGGAACCTCGGGAGCTAGGCACATAGTTCTCAGCTAGTCCCGTGAGTAGCGAGGGCACTCATAGGCAGTGTCTAATGGTCAACTAACCAAGGTCTTAACCTATGAGCCCCTCTAAGCACTAACCTAGCACAGCTCGGATCATATATGTCTACCGTTAGTTGTTGAGTATGCTGGTTGTTATGTGAGCTAATGTGATATCATAGTCTATGTGGATGTGTGTGGTTGCTTTCTGCTACTGATGAGCCTTGCTTATGTCTGTTCGCTAAGGAGAATCATGACATTATTATCTGGCTTGGGGCCAACATTGATACCGCAGCAACATAGCCTGTAAAGGCCTGTAAGGACCAGTTGTATGCTAAATTACCAGCAGTATTTGTTCTGTGATTGGGTATCTGGAGCTGGTTATGGGCCAAACACATACAAATGTTGCATCAGTTAGAATGTACTTGGTCCACCAAAGGCCCCCAGTACATGTAGAATTTTGAGTGGTGGAGGGGGGAAATCCATTAACTCATTTGTTTAACTCATTTGTTTAACTCATTTGTTGAGTGAGAGCACCAAAATTGACTATCGTTGACCAGACCAATTGGGAGTCTATCCTTCGGGCCCTTCAAAAAAAAAAAAAAAATGCTGCCCTTTTTTTCCTATGTCCTTTGGAAGCAAACAAAAAGAGCAGCAACAGTTGTTCTAAAAAAACGGCTGGTAAAAAGAAAAACGAGAAACTGCGCCGGAGTCACAAAAAGAGTTTCAAAATACACTTCGCAGCAGAAAGAGTTTTAAATGGCACTTCGGCCAATGTATACAAGCTAGCTTTCTGGTCAGGTAGGGTTGCGTGGGGGTGTGTTATGTTCGGCGGGATGCCGGAAGTGTAATTTCAAACTGTTTTTGTGACTGTACTGAAGTTACCCCCTGTGGTCCCGATACATTCAAAATGTTACAGTGCATTAATTTCCTGCATTTAATTTAGGGTCAGGCACCCCTTGGGGGTTGGCGAAATAAATTGTACCCGTGTTGGGGTTAGGCAGTTCATGATGAGGGTGTAAGGGTTGCTCACAGCACCTCAGGGTAGCGTAAAGGTTTGCCGGTTCGGGCTACCGTTGCTCGCCGATATCCCTGAGGTGAGGTGAGGCGGGTTGATACCTGCGCTCTTGAGCTGGAATGCCAACTGACCTAGTAGCCTGAATGAGGACGACTTTTCCTTACAAAACAAAAGACAACAAAAAGGATGTTGGAGCCTGCCCGGGACTGCTAGTGGTGCCTGCTCTAACCAGCAAAAAAAAAAAAAAAAAAAAAGGTTGGGGAGCGGGGAGTGCTGTGGAGAGGCCCTAAATTAAAATCCTTAATCTTGACCAGATTTGGCTGCTAATATTTGAAGGAGTCCCTCTTGTGCTTCCCTTAGCCCCACTTCTGATGCCTTGAGAGCCTTCACGGCTTGTAATAGCTTGGCCTCCTTCCGAGCCAGTAGACCTGACACATGGCGCTGAATCTCAATGGCAGCAGCATGGAGCCGCTCACTTGCCGCCAGGTCCACAGCACCGCCACTCGCAGGCTGAGGTGTGCTCTGCAGATTGCCAATAATCAGATCCACAGCACAGTTATGAAAAAAAAAATGAAAAAAGAAGTCAGTTAATCCTCTGGAATCCAGAGTAACCAATTCTGGCAGGCGTTTTCCAGATACTTTCCTTCCTGATTTTTCTTCCAATTTTTCTGTTTCTTTTTCCTGAATCATCCTGTACAAGGGATGCTGGACACAGATATATTCTCAGCCCAAGCCGGGTAATGGCCCTGGTATCTCAAATGACTTGTGTAACTCTATATGGGACGCTGGGCCCGGTTCCCAAGGAGGCTATTTCTCAAAGCTACGGATGATTTTTCCAAACAGAATGGGAACTGCTGGAGGGGATGGGTTTGAATCCTGGAAGAAGGGCTGATGGACAACGACACCAAGAAGGAGAAACGTTTGCCGTTTTAAATTTTTTTTTTTGAAGATCCACTGACGACAAGTGCCAGCCCCTGACTAAGCCAACCGTGTTCCTGAGAGAAAGTCACACGCGCCACAACGAGTTTGCTTCGTATGGGTCTGGACTTTGTATTACCGGACAAAGTCTCGACTTACGTTACCGGGATCTGGTGGGTCAGTAGGATATCTACCTACTAGATTTGCGACTGAGAAGATCTCCCGCCATGGATGCCGACTGCGTCACCAGTAGTACTCGATCCGCTGGTTATTCTCTCTTCCTCTATCTCCTGCGTCTACGGATCCAGCATGCTGTCTTCTGGTTGCCGCTGCTGTGTTTTTTTCTAACCGGCGCGCTCCACTCTCTAGCCATGGGTTTGTATCTATCTCTCCAGATGACGTTTTCCCATCTGACCTGCAAAGCGCTGCTCCTTCTTCCTCGGCATCCAGCATCACCTCACTCGTCTATACGACCACGTTTAACTCTTTCCCCTCTCCCTACCTCTGCTTTTTCCCGCCCTCTCCCCTCTGTCTCCTTCCCTCGGGGGTTCTTTTCTTTTTCTTTTCTGACTCTTTTTCTGACTCTTTTGTTTCTCTCTCTCTCTCTCTCTCTCTCTCTCTCTCTCTCTCTCTCTCTCTCTCTCTCTCTCTCTCTCTCTCTTCTCCCCTCTCTCTCCCTCTATCTCTCTCTCTC